CATAAGTAGGGCCAAGAGCCCACATGTCTAAAGACAGACCGAAAATTACCAAAAGGGTTATATACGAAAGGATACTTCATATTATAAAACATTATTTGTGGAATTGCTGTTCACGCAGAACTATCGGTCGGTATATTCAAGTAAAATTTGCCCTTTGCATCCGTGCTGCTTCGGCATTGAAATTGTCCCCCGGGCGCTTAACAATATAACAATGAGAAAAATACTACTCGATCGCTGGGACAACACGTTTATTCGCCTTACGCTTCTTCATCCGTCGCGGATTCATCATCAGATATGTGAGCAGGAAACAGTAGCAGAAACAATAAAATGATAATAACTATATTTGAGATGCATGAACATATTTGGCGACCTGAGAAATTTAGCCATTATATGCTTTCACTGGCAGTTGAAGGTCACATTAAAAGTCGCAACCTTGAGAATCAGGCTATTTGGTGCCAGTGCCTTTTTTGTCTCATACTGCCGCCGCGCTGTCACGCGTGAGGATAAATTTTTATATTGGTAGCATTGCAAAGCGCATGATGAGTGTTTATTCAAAGAAGGAATTCGGAGCTTCAAACTCCACCGATTATCGCATGTATATCAGTAAGTGCTATTTTGTCACGAATGCTATTGCGGATATGCTTTCCGGCCAAGCCCCCCCCCCTGACAGCCATATCCTAGCACTGCACTAGAGCGAAATTCTCTTACTAGCTCCAAAATTTATGGATAGACGTAGTAAAAGGTTAGCATTCAACAGCAGGAGGTTATCTAATTGGCTGAGATGCCAGATCGCGACCGTAGCAACTTTGGGACAGCCGTTGTCCGCAACTTGCGAACAAATGTTGTTCGGGTCTTGACAGGAGTATGTCGACTCGACAGCGGAGAGTTAGCAAATTTCCGGCGTACCTTTGTCGAACTGACGACTTTTGTCCCCAGTGGATGCACATCGAGTCTGTACCAAACTCTGGTGTTTCGGAAAACTGCAGCAGGGGAGGTGCAGCATTAGGCATAATGCTTTTACTTAAGTGAATGCTCGCAAGAATTTTTACGTCATTCCTTGTCGCCATTTAAACCATTAGTAATCGCTTGATGTGAATGACCGAATTGTAACTATCAAGCGTCCCGGCTCCCTTTACAATTCCAGGGACTGACTCTTAACGTGCACATGCTTAGAAAATTTTCTGGTACCAAAGCAAGCCGCGTGCGACAAATAGGTCACGGCATGCACTTGTTTGCACTTCTGTACTACAAGCAACGGCCCAACAAACTAATCTAGGAGCTACGGACAACGTGATCAGTAGTCCATTCTCAGTTTTCATTCTCTACGTAAATTCGAAAAAAAAATAAACATAACAACATGCATAGGGCAGTTCTTTCGTGAAATAGGCCCATTTGTATAGCTTTTGACGCGCTGTAACTGACACAGGCTGACGTCCACCATGTGCCCCATAGGATGTTAGACATAGAACGGGGACTTGCAATTATTTTGGTTTTGAATTATGGTAAACTTGCGCTGTATGTACCATACTCTCCCCTCCTCACCTGGGCCTACTGGCCAAACAGAATATTAAAGGTGTGATCGGGCGCAGGTGGCTGCTGCGACGTGAGTGCATCTGGGCATGCAACCACACCCCCTGTGAGACATTTGTTGAAGATGCGCATCCCGTCACTTAATAACCGTGGAAGCCACAAAACTGAACACATCTTAATGGATTTAGTCGCGTCAAATTCATCATACCAATAAAGGTGCCACGCTGCGGTGAAAGTAGATTTGCCCATGTTAACGCCCCTCTTCCCTATTTCGTGCACCAGTGGACGGTTCGAACCCGTCAGCTATATGGTGCGGGGATTGGCCGCAGTGGTTACCGAACTATAGACCGGCCGTTCACATGTGTCACATGACCTGGTGATGAATTCGTGCACCAGGGTAC